TAGGCAAGTGCTTTACCATTGAGCTCCATCCCAACCTGATTTTTATTTTTTATACTGTTTTTTGTTTGTTTGTTTTTTAATTAGTATTGATGTTTGAACAGAAGACCTCACATTTGCTAGACTGGTATAATACCGCTGAACCATGACTCCAGACCTGATTTTCACTGGTTAATTTTATGATAGGGTCTTACCTCCTTCCAGGTATGCACCTGAGCCTTGACCTATGTACCTTTGGTCTTGTCATCTTCACTGGGATCATGGGTATGCATCACTGTGTCCAGCTCCTCTCTTCCCTCTGTGAAGAGGGAATCTTGATCCTTCCAATCTCAGCCACCTCATGTAGCTTTGGACAAGTACATACCACTGCCCCCAACTATGGGTTGAGAAGGGATCTTAGAGACTTTTCTGCCTGATTTGTTTTGATTATTTTTGACATAGGGTCTTATTTGCTGAGGTTGGCCTGGAACATGATTCTCCTATTTACACTTAAAGCAGTAACTAGGATGACAGGCACATACCACTACGCTCAACCTTTTCTGTTGAGACAGCATCTTGAAAACTGTCACCTCAAACTGTGAGCCTACCAATCTCCATGTCTGGAGTAGCTAGGAATATAAGCATGAGTTATCACACCCAACCAATTTGGGTTTTTAATTTCAAATGAATATATTTTGCATTTCTAAGCATTCTGTGTGGCTGTTTTTTAAAAACTGCTTTATCATATGAATGCCTTCTGTTTTTTTCTGGTTTGTTTGTTTTCAAATTTTAATAGTTTGCTATTTTTCTTATGATCTTTTTTAGTTACTCACAGGGTACCAAAGCCTTCCATTAATCTAGCACTCAGGATAGCATTTCTCGTGTTTTGTAACTTGCATGAAGAAGCCACCTATAGGGAGGCTGGCTTTTCCAGGGAACCTTGGTCCTGGAAGTATTTTTCAGAGCACTTTTGTTTTGTTTTGGTTTGTTTTTTTTGCCGGTCCTGGGCATTGTCCCAGAGTTTCTTTTGCTCAAGGCTAGCCCTTTACTACTTGAGCCACATTTAATGTTTTTGTCTTCAAGACTACATAGTTTCCAGGGCCAATTTTCACATTCAGTGTCAGCCCTACTGCTCTGCTGGGGTGAACCTGAGTTTTCACTTCTGGGAGGCTTACGCCAGGCACACTAGACTGCTTCTTTTTTTTTTGATTGTGGGGCTTGAACTCTGGGCCTGGGTGCTGTCCCTCAGCTCTTCAGCTCAAGGCTAGCGCTCTACCACTTGAGCCACAGCACCACTTCTGGTTTTTTCTTCTTATGTGGTGCTGAGGAATCGAACCCAGGGCCTCATGCATGCAAGGCAAGCGCTCTACCACTGAGCCACCTTCTCAGCCCCACACTAGATTTCTTAACCAGCTCTCCCAGCACAGGCTGGAGACTGTCTGGTCAGTGTGGGACATTAGAATTCCAGCCCTGGTAGGGCCAGGCCTCTCTTCCTCAACACACACCCTTGGCTACCTGAGCACCACTGCCTGAGTTCACTGGACTCAGACATTTCTACATTTCTGATTCCTATAGGTCTTCCTTTCTAGCTTATGAACGGAACTCACATTTTAAAAAATTTTTTATGATTTTTTTTTTCTGTACCAGTCCTGGAGCTCAGGGCCCGAGTGCAGTTTCTGAGCTTCTTTCCTTAAGGCTAGCACTCTACCACTTGAGCCACAGCTCCACTTCTGGCTTTTTGCTGGTTAACTGGAGATAAGAGTCTCGTGGGCTTTGCTGACTTCAAACCCCAATCCTCAGATCTTAGCCTCTTGCATAGCTAGGAAAACAGGTATGAGCCACCAAACCTGGATTTTTTTTTTTTTTTTTTTTTGGGTCCGGTCGTGGGGCCTGAACTCTGGGCCTGGGCTCTGTCCCTCAGCTCTTTAGCTCAAGGCTAGCGCTCTACCACTTGAGCCACAGCGCCACTTCTGGCTTTTTTTTCTTTTTGCTTATGTAGTGCTGAGGAATCGAACCCAGGGCCTCATGCATGCAAGGCAAGCGCACTACCACTGAGCCACCTTCCCGGCCCTTTTTTTTTTTTTTAAATCCAGTATTCTGGGATTGCTTTTAGCAAGAAGTGTCCACATTAGTTGAACTTGCAGTTGGTTAGAGGTATAAGTCTGATAGGGTGGATTTCCAACAAAAGAAAAGAGGCTCACTAAGTGCTATCTCTGGGCTCTTACCAGAGCCTTGGCTTTCTCTTATTTAGGAACACTGTGACTACTGTGGTTTTAACATATATTTTAGGACATCACCTTGAAGATCCAGTTTTTGAGGCTTCTCCAGAGTTTCAGTGACCATCACGAGTAAGTATGCCTGTCCTCACAGTGGGGCTGTTGGGCTATGTTCTGAGGTCTTCTCTGTCCTTATGCTGTGCTGACCCCTCTACTCAGGAGGAGGCTGTGGGAGGTAGTGAGAACCCAGAGCCTCAGAGTGACAAAGTATGGCTGCATTTTCTTGGCCCCACAGTAAGAGCGGCCAGCCTTCCTTCCTGCCAGGTTCTGAGCTTGCCCTCAGCCCTCACTGCTGCCCTAAAGGTAAGGTGGAAGTTGCTGGCTGTTGGTTATCTGTGGAATCAACATCTCTCTCACTGACTGACCTCCAGACCTCACACAGGCAGCGCACTGACTCCTCTATGAGATGTGCCTTCTGATTTTTTTTATTTTTTTCTACCTTTGATGGAGAACATGTTTCTCTTCTGTAAGGGAAACAATGCAGGGAATCAAGGAATAGCAGCTGGCCCTTTGACCTCAGCATGTCCTGGGAATCTTGGTAACCTTGTGTGTCAGGCTGTCACGCAGCTGCAGCAGCTGAGTGAACATGAGCCATGCTCTTGCATGGCTTCTGATTTTTCAGCTCTTCAAGGAAAGTCAGAAATTAAGTTTTATGTGAAAGGTCCTGGGTAGTTTGTTGTTGTTGTTGTTGTTTTCTTATTTTTTTCACTTTTTTATTTTTTGTTTATGTGGTACTAAGGAATTGAACCCAGGGCTTCATGCATGCTAGGTAAAGCACTCTACCACTAGGCCACATTCCCAGCCCCCTTATTGTTGTTTTTTGTGTATGCTTTGGTTTGGTTTCATTTGGTTTTGTTTTCTGTAGTGTTGAGGATCCAGTTCTGAGTTTTAAATGTTAGTTTTAACATTTTGGAACATTGTACAAGTTAACATAAAGTCTGCCTTCCAGGCACCTCAGCTTCACAGCTCCGCAGAGATGTGAGTGTAGCCTTGCAAGGGGTTAGACATTAGTCAGAGAATGAATGTATGGACATATACATACATACATACAAATATATATATGGAATGCATGGTGACAGACATAATATTTGGAAGTAGAGAGCATGATTCTATGAGAGGACAGTTGGCAAAGACCTAGAAGTATCTCGCCAGCTGAGGCCTAAAGGTTCAGTAATAGGAAATGAGGTGAAGGCACAGCATGCAAGGGTAAGGGTTCTGTCAGAAGCCCTTTCTGTAAGGGAGTGTGGTGGGCTCAATTGATAGGATTGATGGGGGCTAGTTTCAGAGTAGCCTGGCTGCTCTTGGCCTGGAAGCCATGTTCACAGTCCACAGTATTACCTACTTTAAAGCAGTGGGAAGTGGAGAAAGCTCGTTAAACAGAATAGATGAAACCAGTCTGTTCTGAAGATCACTCTAGGAGCTGTGTGAGGACACCATTCCTGTGGAAAATCATGTAGGAGTCTGGTGCCATGCTTAGGTTCAGGTCATGACAGGCCTGGAGTGGAAGGGAGGGAAAATGTGTCACAGCTAACCAGGCCTCTGTGTGGGTAACAGTGTGGTTGTTGGGAGTGGTGTAGCAGGACCAACGTGAGGTGAGATTGGACATGCAGAGGTGCCGGTGCCTTTGTGGAATCAAGTAAATATGGTCAATGGGCAGCCTAAACTTGGAAATTCTAAGACCTTGTTAAGGAATGTTGGAGTCATTGTCAAGATACTGTCTTATGGAAGGCTGGCACAGGGCTGAGAGATCCTGGGGGGGAACGGGTGGGTTCTCAGCTGCCTTCCCCCCATGGGAAGTGGGCTGCCGAAGGCTCCTTACCCTCGTCCAGCGCTGCTTCACAATGCCAGTGCCCATCTCTTTTTTTTTTTTTCTTCCTTCAGTCATGGGGCTTGAACTCTGGGCCTGGGCGCTGTCCCTCAGCTCTTCAGCTCAAGGCTAGCGCTCTACCACTTGAGCCACTGCGCCACTCCAGTTCCTATCTTTTACCTCTCAACCCATCTGTTTCAGAAACAAGTACCTGCTCCTCAACAACCAGGAGCTGAATGAACTCAGTGCCATCTCGCTCAAGGCCAACATCCCTGAGGTGGAAGCCGTCCTCAATACTGACAGGTGACCTGGTGGGGGAGCTGTGGCCACACGTTGCCCTTTCTCCCATGTAGCTGCGCTATCCCAAGGGTTCCTGTATGCAAACACTGATGCCCCCTGCATTTTCTCCTTGAGCCTCAAAGCAGCCCTGGAGAAGAAGGAAATAGTGTCATTAACTCTTCTCTAAAGCTGAGGGACGGAGGCCCAAAGAGCCACCTGCCAGAAGTCCTCTGTGTGTATCTCCTTCCCTTACCACGTACACACGGCTCCTTTCCTGCTGGTGGCAGTTTGACCAACGGGGTGAACCAAGCAGGCTCCTTCACCCTCTGCCAGGAGTCAAGTTCTGTTACCTGGTGTGTTTGCCTTATTTTCTGGAACTAGGCAGTAAGGTGACAGAATGCCTCAGATGCAGACAAAACAGACCTGCCCTGATGATGTTAAGGGATAAAAGCAGAGCTGCTTTATTTGAAGATGGAGTTTAAGGAGTCCCTTAAACTCTGCCCGCTTGGCCATCTACTTTCCTCCATGATGGAGCCTGAGCTGTTTCCTCTTTGATTGCCTTTTGATTCATAGAACAGCAAGCTGAGGCCTGAATGTGAGGGTCTTTGGCCATGGCTAGGCTGGAACCAAACCTGAGGCAGAGAGATTTTTGACCCATCTGACAGACTGACATGGCCTCTCTCAAACCCACTTGTATAAATAGCCTTCCAATGGCAGCTCTGAGCCCTGGCTACCTCTGGATGTGTCTGCCTCTTGCAAGGAGGGACAGCTGGCTTGAGGTGTGGTGCCCATGTCCTCAGCTGTTCTAGTGATAAGGGCCCTGGGACTCTAAGCCAAGGTGGAGTAGGAGTGCCTCCATACTGTTTTCACCTACCTAAGCCAGCATACTTACCCAGCCCAGCCTCAGTCCCTCAGATCTGCCACCAACGTTAGTGCCTTTTTATTCCAGGAGTTTGGTGTGTGATGGGAAAAGGGGCTTATTAACTCGGCTGCTGCAGGTCATGAAGAAGGAGCCAGCAGAGTCATCTTTCAGGTAAGCCTGTGGACAGCTACCTGCCATTGTGAGGGGCTCAAGAGACAGGTGTTTCCCAAGTGGTTAGAAATGCTTCCTTTAGTCCCCAGTAGCTATTTGTGAAGATGGTCATTGTTGGGGGAGGCATATGTATTGTTGCAGGTAAGTGTACATATTCTTGCTGAACATAGCAGGCTATGTCAGAAGGTAGCTGTGAGTTCAGCAAGTGCCTGTGGTGATGGTGCTGCACAGGTGGGAGAGAGCTGGAATACAGGTCCCACCAACATGGTTTTTCTTAGGCTTGTGGGAAACAAGAACAACTAAAAGAAACCTGCTTCAGGGCATTGCAGCGTGGAAAGGAGTAGAGCCAGGAGCTAGCCAAGGACAGCCCTTTGCCTGCTATGGCTGTTGGTGATGGGCAGATGGGGATGGGGGTGGTCAGGGAGCTGCTCAGAGTTCCAAACTCCGCAGAGATAAGTCATGAAAGTTGTAGGCAGGAGAAATTGTGTCAGGGCTCTATGTGAAGCTTTCAGTAGTCCTTGTCCCAAGAGGATCTCTGTCCCTGGAACCTTCCTTATCCAGACTTAGCATTGTGGGTCCCACTGAGCTTTGGGACCACTAAGTGACTGTCAGCCATCTCTCCTCTGGGTCAGCCTGGTGCACATGAATGCAGTTGCAGGTCCACACACACCTTCTGCTTTCCACATTTCTGGCCCCCAAATCCATGTCCCTCCAGTCCCTGGAAGATTAAAGCCTGGAGTATTTTCACATGGAGCTTGCTGGTGCCCACTCTCCCAGCTACCACCTTCCCTGAAATGCCAGTCCTTAAGACAGGCCTGCATGTGAGACTGTCCATTTGGCTGTCCACTCTCTGAGGACGGGGCTTCTCTTGCTGACTTGCTGCAACCTAAGGCCTAGGTGGGCCCCAATACATGGTAGATATTCAGTAAATGTTGAATGAATAGGCAACAGACATTTCCCAACCCTGGGGGGAATTGAACCTGGGCCAGGAGAGGGCAGCCTTAGCCACCTGGGCCAGGGGTCAATATTTGGGTCACAGGTTTTGGCAAGCCCGGGCTGTGGAGAGTTTCCTCCGAGGGACCACCTCCTATGCAGACCAGATGTTCCTGCTGAAGCGAGGCCTTCTAGAGGTATGGCCTGGAGGAGCTGGGGTGTTGGGTGGCTATTCTCCCCCAGCCCCACACTTTGCTTTCCTGTCCTGAGCCCTACATGGTTTGTTAGGAGAGCCAGTGTAGATTGTCCTAGTATTTTCCCAGGTTTCCAACTGTGGGCCCCCCTGTCAGTGCCCACAAGAAATTGACACATGTGTTGTAAGATCCACATGGAAAAGGAATGAATCTAAGTTGGTGTAACTTCAGGAAAATGAGCTGAATGTGATGGTCCATGCATTCCTGCAATCCCAGCATGTGGGAGGCTCAGACAGGAGAATGTAGAGTTCCAGGCCAACCTGGGCTGTATACTGAGACTGCCTCAAAAGGAAATGGAAAATGTTGAAAACCATTTGTCATAGAAACCTTTATCAAGAAGTTAAAATTGGCTTTGTGTTCTTGATAAACATCCATTGGTTTTGATACAAATTTTCCATGATTTCATCTGTTAACACAAAGAAAACCCATGGGGTCAACATATGTCAAGTGTCCTTAAATCTCTGTCCTTTACTTCTTTGAGTGCCTGACTGCTTGGGCAGTGGCTGAGGATAGAACTGGAGACAGCTGCCCCTCTTGGGGACTAGAGCTGTGGCCATGTTAGTGACCTCTGCGAGCCCTGGGCAGTGAGGGCATGTGCTCCACGCACTAAGCCGCTGCCTGTCCTGCTGAGCTCTGTCTGTCACCTGCCCTGGTCTTGGAGCCACCCACATCCTCAAAGAAGAATGTAGACAAGATTGCAGGTTCCATCCACCTGGGTGCTTGCTTGAAGCAAATATATGGTCTGAGCCCCAGGCCAGGCCCAGGTGGGAGACAGGTGGGGGCAGCCATATTTATTTCTTCATCCTGGCCCTTCCTTACCCCAGCACATCCTATACTGCATCGTGGACAGCGAGTGCAAATCAAGGGATGTGCTCCAAAGCTACTTCGACCTCCTGGGGGAGCTGATGAAGTTCAATGTTGATGCGTTCAAAAGGTTCAATAAATACATCAATACTGATGCCAAGGTAAGGCTAGACCAGGGCCCTATGAAGTTTACCACATTGCCAGAAGCTGTCTGGGAGCCCTGGCCTATCGTCTTCAACTGTAGGCTTACAGTTGGGGAGTATAAGGATCCAGTAAGCAACGTTTCCTACACTTATCTTGTGCTGGGCCAGGGGGATACAGGGATGAAAACCTCAGCTGCTTGTTGGAATGACGATGGGAATGGGTGACTGAGGAATTGCTGAGATTATTGCTAGGGTAGAGGTCCAGAACAGAATTGGGCCTGACTCCTTAGGCTCCCAAGAGTGTGTGTGACGGAAACCACCATTGGTGCAGAAACACTCGCCAGGGTCACAGGATCTTACCAGCCTGGCTCCCACCAGTCACGCAGCTTATGTCTAGGACTTAGCAGAGCTGGGGTAGAGGATCTCTGGTGCCCCTGCTGCCAGCGAGCGCTGTCTCTACTCCAGTTCCAGGTGTTCCTGAAGCAGATTAACAGTTCGCTGGTGGACTCCAACATGCTGGTACGCTGTGTCACCCTGTCATTGGACCGATTTGAAAACCAGGTGGACATGAAAGGTGAGGGGCAGCTAGGATGCCAGGGCACCCGGGTACAGTGGTCACTGATAGGAGACACCTGGCCTCCAGCCAGGAGATGGGAACCGCTGAAGTAGCCCCGATAACCATGTGGTTCATGTCACGAGAGTGGTCTCAGGTAATTTACTCTGCTGTGTTGACTGTTTTCTATCATTCATGCCTCCTTTAATGAACACATAATGACATAAAAGCCATTGTTGTCTAGAAAATGCAAAAGGCTACTTTCTCTCTGCGATGAGCAAGACCCTTTGTTCTGTCTCTCTGTGCAGTGCTGTGGTAGACAGCTGTGTCTGGGTGAAGTACCTGACCTCATGTAGAATTGCATGTACTTCCATGTAATGTTTATATGTATGGTATGTATGTTGTTTTTTCCTCTATAAGATGCTGTGGAATCTAGTAGATTCTCTAGTTTGTGAGCCCCTCCAAAAATACAGTTGTCCCTGTTTCAGTCATTATCATTGGCAGTGAGAAGCATGCGATTTCTGTTTGTTTCTGGGGACTGACTACATGATCTTTGGTATGTTTGGTTGTTGTCCCACTATAATGTGGGAAGCTTTTGCTCAGCGCTGTTGTACTCAGTGACCCAGCTGTAGGCATAGACATATGAAAGCTCTGGGAAATGATCTAAATTTCTTCCTTTCTTCTCTCTCTCTCTCTCTCTTTCTTTGAACACAGGGCTTTGTGCCTTGTATTGCTAGGCAAAGGCTCTACCACTAGAGCCATTCCCTTTAGTGTTGTCAGTTTTCAAGATTGGGTCTTTGTTTTATGCCCTGATTGGCCTGGACTGCAATCCTATTGGTGCTTCCCTTTGTCCCTGGAAAGACAGGTGCACATTGCTGTACCCCAACATTGGTGTTTTTGTTTTTGTTCTGTCAGTTGTGGTCCTTGAACTCAGGGCCTGGGCATTGTCCCTGAGCCTCTTTGTGCTCAAGGCTATTGCTCTACCAATTGAGCCACAGCACCACTTCTGGTTTTTTTTTTTGGGGGGGGGTCCGGTTGTGGGGCCTGAACTCTGGGCCTGGACGTTGTCCCTCAGCTCTTCAGCTCAAGGTTAATGCTCTACCACTTGAGCCACAGCGCCACTTCTGGCTTTTTTCTTTTTGCTTATGTGGTGCTGAGGAATCGAACCCAGAGCCTCATGCATGCAAGGCAAGCACTCTACCACTGAGCCACCTTCCCAGCCCCACCAATTCTGGTTTTTGAGTGGTTAATTGGAGTAAGAGTCTCACAGGGACTTTTCTGCCTGAGCTGGCTTCAAACTGTGATCCTCAGATCTCAGCCTCCTGAGTAGCTAGGATTACAGGTGTGAGCCACTGCTGCCGGCGCCCAGCCCACCATTTTTCCCACAGCTGGGGATGACAACTGAATGCCAGTTGAGATGGAACCCCACAAACTTACTTTCCCTAGCTGGCCTTATGAACCATGATTCCCTAATCTCCAACTCCCAAGTAGCTAGGATTATAGACTTGAGCCAGCACACCCAGCTTGTGCTGTTTAATTTTGAGATAGGATTTTTTTTTTCCTTGAGCCTGCACCTAGACCACAGTCTGCCTATTTTACACTTTTTCATCATAGCTAAGACGACAGGCACATACCATGAGCTTCTTCTGTTCAGATAGATTCTCATGGACTTTCTGCCAGGCTGCCCTAAAGCCACAGTCCTCTCAATCTCAGCTTCTCACATAGTTAGGATTATAGGTTTGAACCACTGTACTCAGCTCTTGGTTGAGAAGGGGTCTCACTTGTATGTCCAGGCTGGCCTTGAACCAGATCCTCCTGATTTTGGCCTCCCAAGTAGCTAGGATTATAAGTATAAATTACTGGCATGGAGTTCACTTTTTTTTTTTTTCTGGTCCTGGGGCCTGAACTCAGGGCCTAGGTGTTATCCCTGAGGTTCTTTTGATCATGGCTATTGCTTTACCACTTTAGCCACAGCACCACCTCTGGCTTTTTCTGAGTAGTTTATTAGAGAGACGAGTCTCACGGACTTTTCTGCCTGGGCTGGCTTCAAACTGCAATTCTCAAATCTCAGCCTCCTGAGTAGCTAGGATTATAGGCATGAGCTACCTGCGCCCAGCTTACTATCTTTTTTTTTTTTTTTTTGGTCGTGGGCCTGAACTCTGGGCCTGGGCGCTGTCCCTCAGCTCTTCAGCTCAAGGCTAGCGCTCTACCACTTGAGCCACAGCGCCACTTCTGGCTTTTTTCTGGGGGGGGGTCCGGTTGTGGGGCCTGAACTCTGGGCCTGGGCGCTGTCCCTCAGCTCTTCAGCTCAAGGCTAGCGCTCTACCACTTGAGCCACAGCGCCACTTCTGGCTTTTTTCTTTTTGCTTATGTGGTGCTGAGGAGTCGAATCCAGGGCCTCATGCATGCAAGGCAAGCACTCTACCACTGAGCCACCCTCCCAGCCCCTTACTATGTTTCTTTAATGAGCATCATACCTGTCTTCCTGGAAGGAAAGATAGGGGATCTGGGCTCGGGTTCTAGGGTGGAGGAGGGAGCTGCAGGAGGAAGGACTGCTCCCGGAGTGTGATTCTGCAGGACCAGGCCGAGGCGTGGCTTGTCCTAGTGGCAGAATGATTGGAGGTTGTTCCTGCAGCAGCAGCTCTTGTTCCTGCTTTGGCGGTGAGACGCCCCGTCTGACACTCAGAGGCACAGTTGGCGCTGCCACTGTACTTGAGCCAACTGCTCTGCATTTGCCTCCCTCCACAGTGGCGGAAGTTCTATCCGAGTGCCGCCTGCTCGCCTACATATCCCAGGTGCCCACGCAGATGTCCTTCCTCTTCCGTCTCATCAACATTATCCATGTGCAGACACTGACTCAGGTGAGGAGCCCAGGCTGATGTCAGGGGGAAGATGCACTGGAAAGCCATCTCAGTCCTGGAGCCTAGCACATCTGTGTCTCTCCCAAACACACAGACACACGCGCTATGTGCATCCCTCCCAAGGGCTTTGCCTGGTGCTTCCAGTTTGCAGAGGAGCCTAAGGTGAGGTAGCAAGTCAGAGGTCGCCCACTAAGTTGGGACATAGTTGAGATTGGCACTCCGTCTTTCATTTGTCCAACTCCCAGTCCAGGACTCTTCCTCCATGTCCTACGTCCCTACCCTGCAACTGTGCTAAGCTATGTATGTGATCAGACCTGAGATTGGCCCCAGCTCCTTCTGTGAGTTACTGTCAGCCTTCCCACTTGCAGCTTTACGCCCTTCTCTAAAATGGAGGTCCCACAAACACCTCTCTGAGGTGGTCTTTTGTTCTGCTGTCTAACATGCATGTTGGGAAGGTAGGCCCTTCTGGAGATGCTTTGTGGACAAGGCAGACTGAGACTGCCAACAGTCTACTGAAACATGAACATTATAACTGCATCTAACACATGAACACAACACTGCCAGGAGGTAGAAACTGCTGGAAGAAGCCATGCCTGAACTGAGATCTAGTCAATGACATGTTCAATCAGGGTGTGTAGAATGAGTAATACGCTTAGAGAACAGGAAGGAGCTTAGGCAAGAGCAACTCAGGGAGTGGACCCATAGATTGTACTGGAACCCTACCAGGCCCAAGCCTGCTACAGCCAAGTGTCTGCCCAGGTTCACCAGCCACCACTGGGGCTGCTGGCATGTATTCAATCTGGCTGCCTATGGCCTTGCAGGAGAATGTCAGCTGCCTCAACACCAGCCTGGTGATCCTCATGCTGGCCCGAAGGAAAGAGCGGCTGCCCTTGTACCTGAGGCTCCTGCAGCGGATGGAGCATAGCAAGAAGTATCCCGGCTTCCTGCTCAACAACTTCCACAACCTGCTGCGCTTCTGGCAGCAGCATTACCTCCACAAGGATAAGGACAGCACCTGCCTGGAGAACGTGAGAGCCCAGCCCCACGTGGGAAGTGGGTGGGCAGTAGCACACAGACCCAGGGGCCTTCAGAGGAGTAACTAGGGTGCATGGATGCTGCTGGGCCATGAGCAGGCTATTCCTTGTCCTTGTACAAAGGCTCTCCTCTCCATGGGAGGCTGGGCTCAGCTAGGCCTTCCAGGCACCACCCCATCTCCTCTCTTTTCACCCAGAGCTCCTGCATCAGCTTCTCATACTGGAAGGAGACAGTATCCATCCTGTTGAACCCAGACCGCCAGTCGCCTTCTGCCCTGGTCAGCTACATTGAGGAGCCCTACATGGACATAGACAGAGACTTCACTGAGGAGTGACCTTGGGCCAGGCCTCGGGAGGCTGCTGGGCCAGGGCCAGCATGGGTGAGCGTGGGTACCTGTACCACACGCCCTGCCTATTTCCATCCCTCCCCGGCCTCCCTGATGATAATCTGCCTGCCCAGGTCTTCAGGTACAGGCTTAGTGGGAGGAGCATCCTGGAGCTCTCGACCCCTGAGTCTGAGGGCCCAGGTCACTGGGAAGCCTCAGTTCCCTGACGATTCCCCTAATGAGGACAGGGGCACCATGCCCACCCTTCCCTCAAAATTGTGAGGCCCCGGCCTGCTCAGAGGAAGAGGACTTAGGAAAATAGCTCTGAGTTCCTGCCCTGTCTCCTGATTATCGGTCCCAGGTTGGGAAGGGAGATGTACCTCCTTCCTTCCGGCCATGAGCTGAGTTTCCCTGGCCTCTGAGCACCCATAGAGGCTCCTGAGCCCCAGGCAAGGGTTGGGGTACCGGAGAATGCTGCCTTCCCCTAGGCCTGCCCATCTTTTCTCCCTCCCTCCCTGCCTCATCTTCCTTTAGCTCCTCTGGTTCTGTTTGCTCATTGGCCACTGTGTTCATCCCAGGAGGTTCCTTCAGAAGTATGGGAGGGAGCTTTAGCTCTCCATCCCTTGAGGCACAGAGTGCCTGAGCTGCCCTGCCCAGGGCAGCGTCTCCTGCCTGAGCCTAGACACAGGAGCCTAGCTGGGAGCTCACCTGTGGCCCCTCCTGTGTTGCCAATTTATTAACAGCAAATAAACCAATTAAATGGAGACTATTAAAGAACTTTATTTTAAATGGCTGATGTGGACCTGACTTTGTCCATGGATTATGTGTTCTACTCTCCCTGGAGAACCCCAAGGAATAAGAGAAACACCAGCTGTTGCTGCAGATGTCATGTTTATTCAGGGTACTCAAGGCTTGGGGAGAGCAGAGTGGCAGCAGGGACGAAGAGGTGGCAGGATCGCCCTGGATGTCCATGTCAGAGTGCAGGAGGACGAGTCTCAGCCTGTCCGTCACTCCTTATGCTATGAGGCAAGGGCAGCCTGAGTGAGCCGTGCCGCCTGGGCCCCTACAACACACAGCTTCCAGGGGCACTTCCCTCAATTCCTCACCTTGGGGCCTAGGGCATCCCGGGTCCGTGCCCGCAGCTTATTGGCTTGAGTCTCTGCCATGTCTGCCCGCTCCTCTGCATCATCCAACTCGTGCTGGGCCTTGCGGTACTTGGCCAGGTTGGTGCTGGCTTGCTGCTCCTGAGGTCAGGGGGAGGGCACACACATGGCCTTGGTGCACCTTTGGCAACTGAAATAGTCACTCTAGTCCCAGCCCCAGAAGACAGCTGGCTTTTCCTGGTCCTCTACTTCTCACCACTAGCCTCTCCCTTCCCTAGACCACACAGCAAGAAAACAGAAGTGGAAACTCCTTTGGAAAGTGCCTTTGTGCCAACCTGGCTAGGGTACAGCAAGCACAATGGGTCACAAACAGCTCATCTCTTCCAAGCTCTTGGGGATTTCTCTTCCTGCTGGGGCAGGGGCATCACTGAGTTGAGAAGATGTAGCTGCCCCCTTTTAGGGCAGCCTATTCATGCCTCCACTGGCCACCAGGCCTATGGTCATGGTTCACAGTGTTTGACCCCAGCAGCTTGAGTAGTCCTGGGTACCCAGCTCGTGCTCACCGCCTCCTCAAACTGACGCTTGTAGCTCTTGACCTTGCTCTGCAGCTTGTCCACCAGGTCCTGCATGCGAGCCAGGTTCTTCCTGTCCTCCTCAGCCTGGGCAAGGAAAGGGAACACAAGGCCTGGCTCCAGCCAGCTCCAGCACCGCTCCTCCCACTGCCCCCAGGAGTGGGGCTCATCACCCACCTGGTACGCCAGCTCCTTGACCCGGCGCTCATGTTTGCGCACACCCTTGAGGGCCTCCGCATGCTTCTTCTGCTCTGAGTCAAGCTCAGCCTCCAGCTCCCGTACCTGGAGACAGCCGAGGGTGAGCCTGCTGCCCAAGCCTGCCACCCTGCTAGGGAAGGGCTGCGGGGCCACACACACCTTGGCCTCCAGCTTCTGCACCTGCTTCTTTCCACCCCGAACAGCAGCCTGTTCCGCCTCCTCAAGGCGTGCCTGCAGCTCCCGCGCTGTCTGTTCCAGGGTCTTCTTCATCCGTTCCAAGTGTGCACTTGTGTCCTGCTCCTTCTTCAGCTCCTCTGCCATCATGGCTGCCTGTGGGGGGAAGTAGCACGGTCAAGAGAAGACAATGCCCAGGGAAAAATCCCTTTGTTGGCTCTGTACACACACATGCTCTGGTCCAGCCTCACATCAGTGATAGCCTTTTTGGCCTTCTCCTCGGCCTCCCGCCTCTCCTGAGCAGCTTCTTCCACCTCCCCACTCAGTTGGGCCAAGTCCACCTCCAGCTTCTTTTTCTGGTTCATGAGGCCCGTGTTCTGCAGGAAAGCAGAGATTGAGTTGGCATCAGGCCTCCGCCCCCGTCCTTGTGGACACCCCACCTGCACAGCCCACCTGTGAATGCAGGAGGTTGAGGCGCTCTGTGGCCTCCAGCAGCTCCTGCTCTGCCAGCCGCCGGCTGCGCTCGCCCTGTTCCAAGGTCGCACGAAGCTCTTCCAGCTCTGCAGCCAGCAGTGCAGCCCTGCGCTCCAGGGCCTGCGCCTGTTCACGGAGCTCGGCAGCCAGCCGCTGCTCTTCATCACGCCCTGCCTGCTCCTCCTTGAGCTGGGCCTGCAGCAACCTTGTGGCTGCCTGTGCCTCCATGGCCTGGCGAGTGGCATGGCCCAGCTGTAGCTCCAGGTCATTGAGGTCGCCCTCCATCTTCTTCTTGAGCCGCAGTGCCTCATTGCGGGCCCGCGTCTCCGCATCCAGGGAGGCCTGCAGGGACTCCACTGCCCGCTGGTGGTTGCGCCTATGAGAGGGCAGAATGGAGGGCTCAGCCAGTGAGGAACGAACGGCATGGGCACCGCCTGTGCTATTCCAATTGCCCACTAGAGACAGGAGCCCATTTGGGCAACAGCCGAGTCATCCTTTCCCATGTTAAAGCACCTGTGGCTACCTGGTGCTCTTCTGAGCAAGTTCACCAAGAAGAGAGAGGTCCAGAGACAGAGACGGCTTGGCTGCTCTCTCCATCCCACTGTGTGATTTGGGGCATACTTTAGCCTCCCTTGTGGAAATTTTCCTCTGGAATAGGGACATCCACCTGAGAAAGCCATGTGGCAGGCCACACTAGTCTATGCCAGTGTGCCACCATGAGCCTAGCAATGCTGTCTTCCGCAGACCTCAGATTAGTGCACTCCTCGTCCTTCTCTGCCAGCTTCCGGTCCACTTCCGCCTTGACCTGGGACAACTCCAGCTGAATCCGCAGTGTCTTTGTCTCCTCTAGCTCCAGGGCTCCCTGAGGACAGACAGCAGCGGTACCCAGTGGAGGTCAGGGTATCAGGGGGCCTTGAGTCAGTACCCACCCAGCCCTGCAGCCAGCCCTGACCTCGGCTTCCTCCAGTGCAGCCTGGAGCTCACTCTTCTCCACTTCCAGTGCCTTCTTGGCTTTTTCCAGTTCCTGGATGCTCTTCCCACTGAGGCTGACCTGGTCCGTGAGATCACTGATCTCCTCTGTAGAGTGGACAGGGAGGGTGCGCAGGAGTCACCCTCCCAGCCTGTGCCCTGACCAAGTCACTTTTTAAAAAATACAATTTTACTGTTCTTACGACAGTGCTGTACAGAGGTCTGACCACTTTGTCACTCAGGTGATGAGTACAATTCTTTTTACAGACAATGTTACCCCTTCGCTTTTCCCCTCCAAGTCACTTATTTTTTTTTTGGCCAGTCCTGGGGCTTGAACTCAGGGCCTGAGCACTGAACTTATTTTGTCCTGAACTTTGTTCAGTCCCTGAACTTATTTTGCTCAAGGCTAGTGCTCTACCACTTGGATCACAGTGCCATTTCCGGCTTGTTTAGTTTACGTGGTACTGAGGAATCGAACTCGGGGCTCCTTGCATACTAGGCAAACACTCTGCCACTCCGCCACATTTCCAGCCTCCAAGTCACTATTTTTTACCCTTAAGTGTGACTCTACGGTGCTTCCGGCCCCAGGCCTTACCCTGCAGGTTCTTGTTCTCCCGCTTGAGTGTCTCCAAGGCCTCCAGAGCCTCCTCATGGCTGTGCCGCAGCCGGAAGAGCTCCGTGCCCAGGCCCCGGGCCTCCCTCTGTGCCGCCTCCAGCTCCCGCTGCATCTCCTCCTCCTGTCGCCGCCGCTCCTCAAGGGCCCGCTCCAGGTGTCGCTGCTTCTTGTCCAATGCAGCAGCCGCTGAGGTCGCCCGCTCCAGCTCCAGAGTCACATCCTCTGATTCGGTCTGCAGTCGAAGCTTGGCCTTCTCTAGTGATGAGCACTTAGCGTTCGCAGCCTCTACACCTTCCTCGGCCTCTTGCAGCCTCAGGGCCAGCTTCTTTCTGAGTGGATAGAGTATGGACCGTGTAGGGAGCAGGGCCAGCAGAAAGACTCCAGCTTCAACCCTCACCCCCCCCACCCACAGGCACAGGTATAAGCCTGTCATGGAACTGGCCTGACTAGCTGCCACTCACTTGGCCTCCTCCAGCTCCTCGGTCCTCTGGATGGCATCTGCCTCATACTTGGTCCTCCATTGGGCCACCTCAGCATTGGCCTTGGATAGCAATCGCTGCAGCTCAGCCTGGGCCTCAGCCTCCTCCTCATGCTGTTCCCGCAAGAGGTCACAGTCATGCCGCAAAGCTTGCACAGCGTGAGCCAGTGCATTCTTGGCCTGTAGGGACATCAGTGACCTCAGCCTCAGTCCAAACCAATGGCTGCAGTGTCCACCTGCCCACAGTCACTGTTGCTAGCCCACCTTATTCTCCTCCTCTAACTGCCTTCGCAGTTCCTCTAGGCTCTGGGCTGCCGAGGCCTTCCCACGACTCAGCTGGCTGATCTGAGATTCCTTCTCCTCTAGCAGGCGGCCCAGCTCCCCTGCAAATGAAGAGGCCAGCAGGCAGGTCAGGCTGGTGAGAGGCAGCATCTTGGCCCCACCGAGTGTGGCCCAGCTGAGCCCTGGCTTCACCATTCTCTGTCTGCAGCCGCCCCCGCTGGGTGCTCGCATCTGCCAACTGCCGCTGCAGCTCCTCCACCTTGATCTTGGCCTCGCTTAGCTGATCCTCATAGGCCCGGCACAGCTTCTCTGCACTAGCCTGGGGTCCAGAGTCAAGGGGTAAGACAGAGACTAGAACCTGGGATTAGGAACTAGAAAGCTAGACAGAGCTCAGGATTCAAAGATCAGAGTTTCAGATTCAGGGCTAGGGAGTCTACTGTTGGGCTTCTAGTTCAACTGGAGTGCATCAGAAGTGATTGAGCCTGTCTCAGGGTCAACTCAAGTGAGGGTTAGGATACTAAATCTGGGATCACCTGAGTCAGGAGTCAGAGGTCAGAGTGATAGATTGGTGATAGATTCAGGACAAGGCACAGGACTAAGGGACAAAGGCTAGAAAGCGTGCTGAGTCAAAATGACTCAGGGAATCGGGTTAAGAGTCCAAGCTAAAGGTTAGATGCCAGGTGAATGGCACCAACAATCAGTACAGGGACAATGCTGCTGCGGGGTCTGTACTGGCATGAGGTAGCCAGAGGTCAGACAGTTTGGGGTTGGCGTACAGTCAGATACCTTCCCTCGGGCCAGATTCTCCACACTGGCACCCAGATCGTCCACCTCCATGCGCAGCTCACTCTTTTCCTTTTCCAGCTTCTGCCGTATCCGCTGCAGGCTGTCCACCTGCTCCCCCAGCTCTGCAGCGCCGTCGG